CGGTGAGTGTCCGCCCCGCCCCCTGGGAGTCAGGGGGCCCGTCCGTGGCCGGGAGTCCGGGGCGCAGGAAGCCCTTCGTAAACAGTTACCGGCTTTATTTTCAGACTTGCGCTATCTGGAGAGTCGTTTGAGAAACGAGATACTTAGGGGAGAGCACTAGGGTTTCCCACCACGTCTGGTTCACGTTTGTGTCTGCACAGTGTCTGTCCTGCAGTACATTCTCCGTAAACATTTGTTGAGTGAAGTGGGGGCGGGGGGGTAGGAGGGGGGGAGTCAGGCCCAGCTAGAGCATTCGAGAAACTTGGGAGAAGATACAGGACTACGTTGTGTTGATTGCTTTGCCACCTGGCCTGTGGCCGAACGTCATTGCCCAGGGTCTGCAGGCGTCCCGCTGCCTAAGCTGGAGATTGTAGCACAAAATGAGCTTCAAACATCAGAACCCTGTTATGGGACAGGTAGACTGTCCAGTTAAGTTTAGAAGAGCGAGTCGATAGCTTGTATTTGTTTTTCAAGTTCAGTTAATCCTGGATTTTTTTTTTTTTTTAAAAAGGAATCTGTTGTGGGAGATTTTGAAGCAGCTAAGATCCCTTCCCAGTGACTCCATGCAGCTGGCTGAGGAGGAAGCAGGATTTACCTGTGAAGTAAACAGGCTTTTCTCCCAAGGCTTAAAGCAGTGGTTCTCAACCTTGGCCGCACATTAGAATCACCTGGGAATCTTTTTAAAATCCTGATTTCTGGGCCTCATCCTCCGGAAATTCTGTTTCTTTGTTATGGGGTGGGGCCACAACATTAGTAACAAGAAACAGAATTTCCAGAGGAGGAGGCCCAGAAATCAGGATTTTAAAAAGATTCCCAGGTGATTCTAATGTGCGGCCAAGGTTGAGAACCACTGGCTTAAAGGGTTGTTCTGCTTTGTCTTTTGTTGTCTCAGAACACCTGACTGGTAATCCTGGCATTCATAGGGCCTAGGCGTGACGGGGGAACCAGAGCCACATCTGGTTATACTGCTTTTCCCCTGGAGTGGAGTGGCTGGCTCTCCCCGGTCAAGTTGAAAAATTTCACCTCTTTGCTTTCTGTCCCTGTCCCAGCTTTATGATCTTATATAGCCTCAATAACTTAACATTTTCAGACGTCTGTCTTCAGGCTTTTTGTTTTCGTTTTGGGCATAAGTTGGTTGTTTTTACGTTTCAGTTTTTTTGTTTCTTTTTATTACATTTAGTGGGGTAGCATTGGTTAATAACATTATATATATATATACATTTCAGGTATACAACTTTATAATACTGCATCTGTATATTTATTATGTGCTCAGAACCCGAAGTCTATTTTTTCTAAATAACTATATTTTTTATTGATTGCCTTTTTTTTAGAGAGAGAGAGAGAGAGAGAGAGAGGAGGAGGGAGAGAAAGAGAAAGAAACATCAATTTGTTGTTCCACATATTTATGCATTCATGGGTTGATTCTTGTATGTGCCCTGACCAGGGATTAAACCCACAGCCTTCGTGTATCGGGAGAACGCTCTAACCAGCTGAGCTACTCAGACAAGGCTCTAGTCTCCTCTGTCATAATATATTTGATCCCCCTCCATTCTGGTGACCACCATTCTAGTGTCTGTATCAATGAGTTTGATTTTTTGTTTGTTTTGTTTGTATGTTTGTTGCTTTATGTTTATATCCCACATACAAGTGAAATCATACAGTTGCTTTTTTTCTGTTTGATTTATTAATTAGCATAATACTCTCAAAATCCTTCCATATTGTCACAAATAGCAATAGTTCATCTTTTTAACGCTGAGTAGTATTCCATTGTATATATGTACCATATCGTGTTTTTCCAATCATCAGGCGAAGGACACGTGTCATAGGTTGTTTCCATGTCTTGACTATTGTGAATAGTGCTACAATGAATGCAGTGGTACATATGTCTTTACAAATAAGTGTTTTCACATTTTTAAGGTATATAGACCCAGAAGAGGTATTACTGGCTCATATAGTAGCTCTGTTAATTTTTTGAGGAACCTCCATACAGTTTTTCATAGTGGCTGCACCAATTTACATTCCCACCAGCAGTATATGAGGGTTCCCTTTTCTCCATAGCCTCTCCAACACTTGTTATTTCTTGTCTTATTGATTATAGCCATTCTAACAGGTGTGAGGAGGTATCTCATTGTGGTTTTGCTTTACCATTTCCCTTATAACTAGTGATGTTGAACATCTTTTCATATTTCTGTTGGTCATATGTGACTTCCTTATAAAAGTGCTTATTCAGGTCTTCTGCCCATTTCTTAAATAGGATTTTTTTTGTTGTTGAGTTCTTTATATATTTCAGATATTAACCCTTTATCAGAGGTATTGTTTGCAAATATCTTCTCCCATTCTGTTGGAGACCTTTTTGTTTTGTTGATGGTTTCTTTTGCTGTGCAGAAGCTTTTTAATTTGATGTAGTACCAGTCATTTATTTTTGCTTTTACTTCCCTTGCATTTGGGGTCAAGTTCACCAAAACCTCTCTGAGACCAAGATCCATAAGTTTAGTGCCTATGTTTCTTTCTATGTATTTTATTGTTTCAGGTCTTATATTCAAGTCTTTACTCCATTTTAAGTTAGTTTTTGTGTATGGTGTCAAATAGCAGTCTAGGTTTTATTTTGCATGTGGCTTTCCAGTTTTCCCAAATGTATTGAAGAGACTTTCCTTTCTCCATTATATCTCTTTGGCTCCTTTGTTGAAAATTGCCCATATTTATTTTTGGATTCTCAATTTTGTTCCGTTGGTCTTTGTGTCTGTTTTTCTGCCAATACCATGTTGTTTTAATTATTGTAGCTTTGTAGTATAGTTTATCTTTTTTCTCAGGATTGCTTTGGCTATTTGGGATCTTTTGTGATTCCATACAAATCTGAGAATTTTTTTGTTCTATTACTGTGAAAAAAGGCCATTGGGATTTTGATAGGGATTGCATTAAATCTTTCAACAGTGTCTTATAGTTTTTAGTGTACAGATTCTTCATCTCCCAACTTTATTCTTAGGTATTTTGGTTTTTTTGTTGTTGTTGTGATCTTAATGGGATTGATTGTTTTCTTCATTTCTCTTTCAGATATTTTGTTGTTAGTATATGGTAATGCAACAGGTTTTTATATCTTGATTTTGTATCCTGCAACTTTGCTGTATTTGTTAGTTGTTTCTAATAGTTTTTTGGTGGAATCTTTAGGTTTTTCTGTATGTAGAGTCATGTCATCTGTGAATAGTGACAGTTTTACTTCTTCATTCCCAATTTGGATGCCTTTTCTTTCTTTTTCTGTTTAATTGCTCTGGCTAGGACTTCCAGTACTATTGAATAGCAGTGATGAGAGTGGGCATCCTTGTCTTGTTCCTGATCTTAGAGGAAAAGTTTTTAGTTTCTCACCATTGAGTATGATGGTACCTGAAGGTTTGTCATAATGGACTTTATAATGTTGAGGTACTTTCCTTCTGTACCCATTTTATTATTGAGTGTCTTACTATAAATGGATGTTATAACTTGTCAAGTGCTTTTTCTGCACCTATTGTTATAATCACATTGATTGCTTTATGGATGTTGAATCATCCTTGCATCCCTGGAATGAACCCCACTTGATCATGACTCTGATTCTTTTACTATATTGCTGTATTCAATTTGCTGGTATTTTGTTTAGGATTTTGCATCTGTGTTTATCAGAGATATTGGCCTGTAGTGTGTGTGTGTGTTCGTGTTCCTTGCCTGGTTTTGGTATCAGGGTAATTAATGTTGGCCTCAATATGAGTTAGGAAGTATTCTCTCTCCAATTTTTTGGAAGAGGTTGAGGATTGATTTTAATCTTCTTTGAATACTTGGTGGAATTCACCAGTGAAGCCTTCGGGTCCTGGACTTTTTTTTTTTAAGAGTTTTGTTTTGTTTTTGTTTTTTAAATAATATATTTATTGATTTCAGAGAGTAAGGGAGAAGGAGAGAGAGATAGAAACATCAATGATGAGCGAGAATCATTGACTGCCTCCTGCACACCCTACTGGGGATTGAGCCCAAAACTCAGGCAAGTGCCCTTGGCCGGAATCGAACCTGGGACCCTTCAGTCCACAGGCCAACACTCTATCCACTGAGCCAAGCCGGCTAGGACAAGATTTTTTTTTATTACTGTTTCAGTTTCCTTACTAGTGATCCATCTATATGCGTTTTCCACTTCTTCATGATTCAGTCTAGGAAGGTTGAATACTTCTAAGGATTCGTACATTTTTCCTAGGTTATTGAGTTTGGTGGTGTATATCCTTTCATAGTATTCTAGTATAATCCTTTGTATTTCTGCAGTGTCCATTGTAACTTCCTCTTTCACTTCTGATTTTACTTATTTGAGTCTTCTCTCTTTTCTCCTCTAGCCAGAGGTTTATCTTTTCAAATAACCAGTTCTTTGTTTTATTGTTTTCTATTGTCTTTTCTCTATTTCATTTATTGCTCTATTTTTATTACTTCCTTCTACTGACTTGTGCCTCATTTGTTCTTTTTCTAGTTATTTAAGGTATGTTAGATTGTTTATTTGGGTTTTTTTGTTTGTTTGTTTCTTGACGTAGGCCTGTAATGGTATAAACATTCCTCTTAGTGCTACTTTTGCTGCACCCCTAAAATTTTGTTACATCATATCTTCATTTTAATTTGTCTCTGTGTATTTTTTGGTCTCTTATTTCTTCTTTGACCCAGTAGTAATTCAGTAGCATGTTGTTTAATCTCCACATATTTATAGTTTTTCCAGCTTTCTTCTTGTAGTTAATTTCCAGTTTCATACCATGTGGTCAGAAAATATGCTTGGTATGATTTCAGTCTTAAATTTATTGAGACTAGTTTTGTGAACTAACATATAGTCTATCCTTGAGAATTCCAATGTGCACTTGAGAATGTGTATTCTAGTATTTGGAGATGGAAAGTTCTGTCAATATCAATTAATTCTGTTTGGTCTAATGTGTCATTTAAAGCGGTATTTCCTTATTGACTTTCTGTCTGGATGATCTATGAGTTGGGTGTTCAGGTCGCCTATTATAATTGCAATTTTGTCAGTTTCTTCCTTTAAGTCTGTTTGTAATTGCTTTATATGTTTTGGTGTTCCCAGGTTTGGTACATATGTATTGATAGGTGTTATGTCTTCTTGATGAATTATCCCCTTTATCATTATTAAATGTCCATCTTTGATTCCCTTTAACTTTTTTATTTTGAAATCTGTTTTGTCTCATATAGGTACTGCTACACCGCTTTTTTCTCTAAATGCCATTTTCTTGGAGTGACATCTTCCACCCCTTCTCTTTAAGCCTATGTTTATCTTTGGAGCTGAGTCTCCTGCAGGCAACATATAATTCGTTCTTTTGTAATCCATCTTGATACTCTATACCTTTTGATTGGTGAGTTTAGTTCATTTACATTTAGGGTGATTATTGACATATGAGAACATAACAACAGCCATTTTTTGTTTTCTGGTTACTCTGTGTCTCCACTGTTTCTTTACCCTTGTGATTCTCTCTCATATTTTAATTTGGTGGTTTTCTATGATTTTTTCCTCCTTTATTCCCTCTTTTTTTTTTTTAATCTAATGGGGAGAAACAAAGGAGTCTTCTCACTGTGCCATGATGCTTACATCACTCCCAAGTTTTACATAACTCCAAGTTTTAGTTTTATGACTGGGTACCATATACACATAAAAAAAAAATCCAAAGTTAGGAAACGATGTGCAGTAAAAAACAAGACCCCTTTCCTTCTTTGAACACCAGCATTCAGTCGTTCTTTTTCAGTCGTTCCCCCCCCCCCCCCCCCCCCCCCCCCACCCCCCCCACAGTCTTTGTTAAATCCTGCTAAATTTTTCCTACAATGAAATCCTTAGGTTCAGATCAACCGAAGGACTTGTATGCATGCATATAAGCATAACCAATGGACACAAGACACTGGGGGGTAGGGGAGGCCGGGGGAATGTCAGGGGGAAAAAAGAAAGGAGACATATGTAATACTCTTTGTAATACTTTAAGCAATAAAACAAAATTAAAAAAAAAATCCTTAGGTTCTAGTAAATACAGGTTATTAGAACTAATTATAGTCAATGAATTTATGATTTAGCACCTTTTTACATGGGATGGATTTGTTACTATGAATAACTTATAAATACTTGAGAGAGGAGAAGGTAAATACATTCCCCCACAGTTACCTTTTATTTCAGACAGAGACTTCAGGAAGAACCTGTTTAATCTTTGTTTTGTGGGTAAAAGTATGGAAAATAGAGTGTAAGTGCCCAGTGAGTATACCTATAAATGAAATAATTTGTTAACCTGAGAAATCATATTTATTCCAAACTTATACAGTTAGAGTCATCAAAATAAAAACTCTTTCAAATACGAATACAAAATTTCCTAATCCCTCTGATTCAGTGCTTTGTACCTCATTTTTTCAACTTGATTTTATTATTATGGCTTTTTCTTTAGGTTAAGCTTAAAGGAGCCATTTTACAATGAACAAAGTAAAAGTTAGTATAACCTAGAAAATCGTGGAGGCAGGGAGGGAGTGTGCTTAATTCCAGAAGAAGTTACTACTTGAATTTGGTATGGAATGTAAATAGTAAAAAGTGTGGTGGAGGATAGGGTAGCATAAGGGTTATGGGAAAATACTCTCTTGGGAAGAAGAGTCATGGCAGGGCCATTTCTCTGCTTATCTGGCAATAGCCTGACAAAAGGATCAGAACAGAATGCCAGATAGGGGACCTCTGAACTTGATGGGTAAACAAATTAAAAGGGCTGATGTAAATGTAATCAGCATGGGAGAGGGAAAGAAGTCTAGAGGAGATTATCTAGAGATGATCTGCGAACAATGCATGAAACTGTGAAGTGTACCACTTGTTCAACAAGCAGGTATTGAACCTGCTGGTATGCCCGATACTCTCCTAAGTGCTAGGACACAAGACATATTTTTGAGTCGTTAGGGAGACAGGCTGGTGAAACAACTAAAGTGATATTTAAAGGAAAGACTCGAAGCGGTTTGAGTGTATCCTCCGGAGAGTGTGCAGAGTGCCTAGGAGCTCAACAAGAGGGCTTGATTCTTCTGGTGTTTGGTGAGGGATTCTACGGTGTTTTGCCCTGCTGACTGCTACACTGCCTCTCATTTAGCTCTCTGCTTGTGTCAACCCCCACTGTATACCATCTGGCCATTCCATTTGATATGTCATGAAGCTTTTGGCTACCCTTAAACACACTGCACTGTTACATTTACAGAATTTCGGTTTAGCCTTGGCCAGTTTTGTTAAGTGGTTAGAGTGTTGGCCCTCGGACCAAAGGGTCTTGGGCTGGATTCCTGTGTCTTGGTTGTGGGTTTAATCCCAGCCCCTGTCAGGGTGCATGTGGGAGGCAGCCAGTTGCTGTATCTCTCTCACATTGATGTTTCTCTGTCTCTCTCCCTCTCCCCCATTCTCCCTCCCTTCTACTCTCTAAAGATCAATGGAAGCCCGTGTGGCTCAGTGGTTGAGTGTCAACCCATGCACCAAAAGGTCACTGGTTCGATCTTCACAAGTTGAGATTGGCCAGAATGAAATACAAGTTTCTGACAACTTAGAATGGAACTCTGCTTGAGGTTTCACCCTCCTGTTTTCCTTTGCAGACACACAGACTCGAGCCACTTCTAAGAGCTTATTACCTGTGAAGTCTAAAGAAGTCGATGCTTCCAGATCTCTTCATCCAGGAGTTTCAGAAAATGATGTAATGAAAGGCATCAAACCGAGACGAGAGAATGGGTGGGTCAGATCATTGGTATCCAGTTAGAAATTGCTCAGTACCAGGAATTAGAAAGTGGGGGTTTCAGAGCACAAGGCACCTGAACAATTAGCCTGGAGTCAGGGACCTGGATCAGAGCCGCATTGCTGAGCTGTTGTCAGGACCCTCCGTGTCGATCAGTTCTGAAGAGGCACAGCAAGGGCTATGCTAAGAGACACCCTTTCCCTTCTCACCGCTGCTCGGAGTGTACAATGGCTGACTGTGGTCATACCCCAACCCTGAATGGTAGTCACGGTGGGTGGGCTGGTTGTTAGCCTGTGTTGCTGGTCTGAGCACAGTCCAGCCCAGTGCGCATGTGTGTCCCTCCACCCAGTGCTCAGTCCCCATGTAAGTGAGGTTGTCATGAGAAGGCCATTCGTTTTTGAGTAGGAGGGGAGTTCATTATTAATAAGCCTTTTTCAATAATCTGGGCTGAAACAAAGTGCATGGGCTTCAGAGCTTCTCAGTCTCGTGTTATTTGTATTGTTTAAAATCTCTGGTTCTTTTCCTCAGGAAACCAGCCTCTCTGTTCTGCTTTGCTCACAACACATATAACAACCTGTTACAATTCTCTGCTTGATTCCTTTGTCATTTGCTTTTAATTAAGGCATTGACTACGTTATAGTTTCAAGTATACAGCATAATGATGTGATATGTGTACATATTGCAAAATGTTTGCCACAATAAGTCAAGTTACATTCTGATTTCTTTGTCTTTGCTCCGCTAGGCAGGGGAAAGCTGCAGATACTGCCATCAAGAGGAACATCAAAAAGAGGTGAGCATCAGGGTAAATGAAGGTTGGGCACCGTGTTAGTGGATCTCAGTCCTGGTTGTGCAGGACTTGTTGGGACTTGTTTAATGTGTTACAGTCTGGGTGCCACCCAGAAATCTGAATGGAATTTTCAGGGTTGAGGCACAGCTAGATTTGAGAAACACTATCAGGGCACGATTAGTGAAGCTACCATCTTGAGTGCCAGTCAAGAGCTTTTGGGGCTCCATGCCAGGACCACGCTGACCAGAAGTCAAACGCAGCTGTGACCTCTCAACAGGAGTGTGAAGCCTTCGAGATCGGAGGGGCTGCGTGTAGTTAGCAATTTCAAGATGGTATTTCTGGTGAAGGAGAAATCCACGAGAAGGACCTGTCTTTCTGTCTTGGAGGCTAGCTTGGGCATTTTGCAGTCCTGACGACAGAAATAATATAAGCTGAAAATTCTGTAGAAACAGGTTCTAATTTCAAATCTGGGCATGTTTTAAAAGTGCTGAACAAAACTCTATCCAAGAAGAACTCTGAGAAATTTGAAAAGAACGTTTAATATTAATGGTGATAATGGCTGTTATTTATTAAATGTTTACTATGTGTCAGTGGCGTGCTAAGAATGGTACATGTGTCCTTTCTCTTATTCTTCACAATAATAATATTATGAGAGGTAGGTATTATCCTAATTCCGGAAATAAGGAAACCGAGCGTCAGAGAGGTTATGCAACTCACTGAAGGTCATATACTACTATGTGATGAAGCCAGGATTCGAACTCCTATTTGTGAGACTACCCAGTCCATACTCTTTACCCCCCACCACTACATATAAGTACAGTTATCATTACAGCTACAGGCCATTGAGTAAGCAGAAGTCAGAGGAAGAGCTCAAGGATAAGAACCAGATCTTAGAGGCCGTCAACAAGCAGTTACACCAGAAGTTGACTGAAACTCAGGTAAGAGACCCACCAGGCCTGTGCCATCAGCCACACTGGGTGATGCATGTGGAACCCCGAGGGACAGCCGCTCAGACCACCCCTGAGGAGTGGCACAGGCCTGATCTGTGCATGGCACCATAGGGAAAGCTGAAGGACCTGACTGAAAAGGTGGAGCTGCTGCAGAAGTTTCAGGACAACAGTTTGGCGATTTTGGAGAGCAAGGGCCTCAACCCAGGTAAGAAACAGCACACAGCAGCCTTCAGAGGAATCAGTGTGCGTGCCCCCTGCTGGGGTGGTCCTGGGCTGTGTGTTAGGGTCCAGCGTGGCGGCATCTGGCCGAGGCATGCAGAGTTTGGAGCACCTTTTTTTCTCTGGTGATGCTGACTGTGCCTGACCGATTCCAGGTGGTTGTGGAGAGAGGATTATCGCTTTCTTATCTGAACACTTTGGTGCCCAAAGGTATGACCTTGCAAATTAGACCAGAAATATTTTATTTCTTTCAAGATTGGTAGCATACAGTTAACTTTCTCAAGTGGGAAGAGAGAGAGGTGATACTGTTTCTGGCTAATCGGCAGAATCCCAGCGGTTAAAGTGGGATTCCAGCTCTGACCCTCTCCCTAGAGATCAGTCTAGAGCAGAGAGGAGACGGAGCTGAGGGGCCTGAGCATCCCAGGGAAGGGCCCCAGGCTTCTTGAATTAAGGAATGCTGACTGAATGCTACTGGTTAACTGTACAGTTTAGGATATATTCTTCATATATGTTTTTATATTATTTTAATTTATTATGTGTATGCACTATTTTTATCAAAAATAATATTTAAGGCCTAAAAAACTTTAAAAAATAGTTCTGTGTTTTGTAAACAAAACTATACATTGCCTTTGGACAAATTTTCTGAGGAGAGAGCAGAATGAATTTTTGGCCATATCCAAACACAGAAAGGAAGGAGCTAAAATGTATCTCGAGGCAGGCGTGGGCACACTGCCAGGGTGAGTCAGGAGCAGCTCTTAGAGAACTTTCCCTCATGAAAACTCTGTGCTTGTCCTTGTCCTAGAGGGGTTTTTTGGTTGTTTATTTTGTGGAAGGTACAGTTCCCTAAGCGAGGCTAATTTTGTTGTCTCCATTACATTTAGACAGTGAAACCCTGGAATCACAGCAGGAATCCAACCCGGATCACATGGACTCGATGGTGAGGGCCTAGGTGTGAGTGGGCGAGGGCCGAGGGCGGAGGGATCGTGGCTCCAGGAGATCACTGCCATATGCTCAGTAAACCCCGAGAAGCAGCCTTTGGGACCCAGGATAGTGGAAGAAGAGAGTGGTGGATATGTACTCAAAGAGCATATCTTACTTGGCAGGTGACCTGTGCTTTTGAATATGAGTGAGTCTGAGTTGAAAATGTGCTACTTTAAAACACATAACAGGATAGACCTGTATACAGCGCTTTCTGGTTTGTGTTTTATACTAGACCAATTTCTCTCCTTATTCCTTCGCTGAGAACTAGATAATGAGGTAGGAAGGTAATTGTTTGGGATTAAAGTCTCTTGAGTTTCTATGATCAGAAGATGAGTTGTCATCTTAAAGTCATAGAGCACTAGATATGGAATCACCCTCAGCTCTCCCAGGTTATTAGTCACCCCTTCAGTGGATACGTGTGTTCATGTTGCTTGTGTAGCAGAACTCATGGAAGTGGGATAATCCTTCGCCCCTCCTGGGGACTGAGTTCCTCCAGGGTGCCCAGTAGAGAAGCCAGATGTGTGTGGACGCAGCCAATGGCTGAATGACGTTAGCAGTCATCTAATTCAGCTCCCCCTTTATACAAAGAGATTAGTTTGTATGAAGAAAATGTTCACATACCAATGAAGATTTGTACTTTATTTTACTAATTGTACTTTGCTTTTAGTTGCTGTTAGAAACTTTGCAAGATGAATTGAAGCTTTTTAACGAAACAGCAAAAAAGCAGATGGAGGAGTTACAGGTGAGAGGCAGACATCACTCTGAGGAAAAATTATATTCCTACTACAGTAGATGGATCTATAGAGGGATCTCTCTCTCTCTCTCTCACTTTTAATCCTCACCCAAGAACATTTTTTCCATTGATTTTTAGAAAGAGTGGAAGAGAGAGAAAGAGAGAGAAACACGGATGCGAGAGAGACATATCAATTGGTTGCTTCCCACATGCCCCCGACCAGGGCCGGGAGCCTGCAACCATGGTACGTGCCCTTGACCAGAATCACACCCGGAACCTTCAGTCCACAGGCCAACACTCTATCCACTGAGCCAAACCAGCTAGGGTTGGAGGGCTCTCTCTTATTTATCTGTTTCTTTATTTTAATAAACTATAATTTTAGATTTACAGAAAATTTGCAAAGAAAATTCAATTCCCCTACAAATACAGAGAATTCTTCCTCAATGGGACAGAAGCATAATGTTTCAAAGTTTTTGTTTGTTTTTGTCTTTTTTAATATCTTTCCAAACAGGCCTTAAAAGTAAAGTTGAAGATGAAAGAAGAAGAGAGGGCCCGGTTCCTAGAGCAGCAGACCCTATGTAACAGCCAAGTAAATGATTTTACAGCAGCCCTTGAGGAAATGGAGCAGCTATTAGAAATGTGATAAAAAGCAAGTGGCCAGATGGCTCTCTCTTGGGGATTAACTCTCGGAGGAAGCCACTAAGGACATCTGCTTCTTGGCCATGATCTTCACCATTCCAAGAATGAAACCAGTTTGTGCAGTAGGATTAAGGATAGTTAATGCTGGAATGGCAGTTCCTCCTTTAAGAAAGTGTTCTCACTCGTCAGATTGGCCAGCTCTCTGAACCTCACATGTACATAATTAAGGTCTACAAGAAGGGAATCTGGAAGCTTGGATCAACTCCTAGGCAGCAAAGCGACCCACTGTTAGAAACAGGAGACTAAACCAGCCACAGCCAGAGGATCCAAAAGGTCACATTCAGATGTGCAGGGAGAAACCCTGAATCGTACCAATGGGGCACAGGTCTCCACAGGAAATGCCACTGAGGAGCCATGCAGGCCCTCTAATTTGGACACATGGGAACTTAAAGTCACTTGAAATGGCTTAATAAATGGGGTGAAGGTATAGATAGCAATAACACCAACTGAAACAATACACTCTGGAGCTTTAAATCACTTCTGTGTTTTTTATATGTTTATATATATATATATAAAGTGCTAATTTTAAAATAAATATTTCTGTAACTTCAGATTGCAATGAGAAGTGAAAATAGCCTTTTATTTTAAATATATTCACTGACTATTGAACTAATGTAGACAAGTTCACACCTTTAATTTAATCCAGAATCTTTCCTTCCACTCATTAAGTGCACCATGCCTACCCAACCCCTTCTTCCGGAACCTTCACTTGCCTTCTGAGGGTGTTCCCTGTTTGTAGCAGTGGGCCAGACTCCACCCACCAGATTTGTGTCAGGAGCTGCCTGTTGTCCCTGTACTCGCGAGCATGATTATGTTCCTGCTCTTTGCTTTGCACAGCCAATCCTGGACCTGGCTTCATGGATCCTTAATCAACTGAAGTCCATGGCAGGCCGCCCCTCCTCTCCCCCCTGCTGGTTTACCCAAGGCACAGCCATATTTCATTTCTTAGACAAGGCAGTCATTGACCAGCTCCCTTTCCCTTTTTTTCTGCAATTTTTTCATCAAACCCATCCACTATTCAGCATTGCTGCAGTTGCCCAGAGCCACCCATTAATGCCCCAACCCTAACTTACAGGGCTAAATTCTTTTGCCTTCACACACAAATGTTCATTCAGTTAGTTATGTCCCAAATATTTTGAAGGGGGGAAATTCAGTTAAACAATTCTCACCAATGAGAGGGGCTGAACATTGTCTTCTACCCATTTTCAAGATGTTTACAGTTTAAAAGATTGTTTACAGCAAATGAATTTGTTATTGCTATTTTAGGCCCCCCAAAAAGTTTTACTTCCTTTTTGGAAGGAGAGGGTGGGAAACTCAGTTGTGGAATCCTCACCTCAATGATCTTAATGTCTACCATACTCATCTTCCCGGTGTAGAGACCCTGCTCTCGTGGCCTGGTCTCACCAAGGGGCTTTCACTTCATGGTTCTGCTTTGCACCACCAGCCAGCCTTTGTGCACTCTTGACTTTATTCCCTCTGACCTGTGCTGTTGCATCTGTCGCTTGTACATGTGGCTTAATCTGATCTGGAACCTAAACAGATTCATACATAAACCCAGCAAATAGTGATCTGCACCCTCCACTTTGCTAGATGCTATAGGAAACTTAATGTAGCATGACATTCTTTTTTTTTTTAAAATATGTTTATTGATTTTTTACAGAGAGGAAGGGAGAGGGATAGAGAGTTAGATACATCGATGAGAGAGAAACATCGATCAGCTGCCTCCTGCACGCCCCCTACTGGGGATGTGCCCGCAACCAAGGTACATGCCCTCGACCGGAATCGAACCCGGGACCCTTCAGTCCGCAGGCCGACGCTCTATCCACTGAGCCAAACCAGTCAGGGCTAGCATGACATTCTAAACCTCGAAGCTTACAGTCTTATTTGGTGAAACAAAAAATGCAGGTCATAAACAAGTTAAATAACAAAAGATAATGCTTTATCAACAATGGGTGGTGTGATACAGTTGTGTTCTACAGTAGTTAACTGTGGGCTAGGCTTATGGAGGAGGTAGACTGGGAATTGAAGGAAAAGTAACATTTGGAGAGGCTGGCAAAAAAGTTGAGGACCTTCCAAGTTGGTGAACACATGGAGAATTGGCGAGAGTGGCAGGATCATTGGAAACTCCAGGGAGAAAATAAAATCACGAAAGATTAAAAGAGGTGGCGAGGGGGGGATCCAGATGAGTCTTGGGGAACATAGTAAGAACAATGGGCTGTTCAGAGGGTTCAAGATGAGAAGGGATTATGTCTGACGTTTAATTGAACATTTGTAAATGAATATGCAAATGTATCTATGTTCCTCATGTATAGTCTCATGTAATCCTCATTATAAGCATACAAGGTAAGCACTATTACTCCATTTTACAGCTGGGGAGATAGCGCAGAGAAGTTAAATTGATTCACCCAAGGTCAAACAACAAGCAAGTATTGGAGAAAAATTTGAGCCAGGTAATAATGAGGGTAAAAGGTACGTGGTGTTACCAGAAGATTTGAACCTTGAATGCCAGGCTAAGAAGTGTGGGTTTTTATAATTTAGGCCAGAGGTTTCCAACTTTCTCAGCTCATGATGCCCTTATTATCTCAGTAATAAATTTTTTTATTTAAAAAATTTTATTATCAACTGTCTCTCTAGTTTGCTTGCTCTTATTAGCTGATAAAAAAAAATTCCAGAGCAGAGTGATTCACCAGCACTGTCATTAAGTTGTAAATCTATCCTTCGTCACGGAGCAAGAATACACTCAGATCAACTCAAGAAAATAACTTCACAGAAAAGTGTCACAGAAGCACCCATATCCATTTATCACGCATCCCAGGGTCTTATAGTCCCCTTTGCAGTTGCCTAACTTCTAACCCAGTTTCATTTTACAGAGGTAGTCTGAAAATAAGGAATCACTCAAGTGAGATGTCCCTTCAGAGTACTGTTGAAAATATATTATACATAGAGATATCCCATATCCCTGTTCTAAACGTTAAAAATATATTAAATTAGCGCATAGAGAAAATATCCATAGGTATCATCTATGTTCTAATTAGTTTTTGTTTCCCCCTTTTTGACAACTTCAACTTCTGAGGCCCTTCCTTTGTAGTCATTTGGTTCTATCATATTTAACTTCTTTTGATACTCCAGTGGCAAACCATTCTATTCTTGCACCCATGCAAATGACCTTTTTATACTGGGGTGAAAGGGGAGCTTTTAAATTTATTGGAGTGACATTAGTCAACATTAACATATAGGTTTCAGGTGTGGGTTTCTGTTACAAGATCTGTATATTACACCATGTGCCCACCACCCAAAGTCAAATCCCCCGTCGCCATATATTAGAATCCCCCTTTCTCCCCCCGCCCCCCACCCTTCCCTCTGGCAGCCACCACACTACTGTTTGTGTTCATGAGTCAGTTTTAATATCCCACATATGAGTGAAGTCATGGTTCTTAGCTTTTCCTGACTGACTTATTTCACTTAGCATCATGTTCTCAAGGTCCACCCATGTTGTTGCAAATGGTGCTATGTCATCCTTCGTTATGGCTGAGTAGTAAGTATTCCATGTGTCTATGTACCACATCTTCTTTATTCAGTCCTCTATTACAGGACACTTGGGTTGTTTCCATGTCTTGGCCACCATGAATAATGCTGCAGTGAACATAGGGGTGCATATATCTTTGCAAATACATGATTTTGAGTTTTTCGGGTATATACCCAGAAGAGGGATTTTGCTGGATTGTATGGTAGCTCTATTCTTAAGTTTTTGAGGAATTGCCAGACTGCTTTCCATAGTGGTTGTACCAGTCTACATTCCCACCAGCAGTGAAAGGATTCCCTTTTTTCCATAACCTCTCCAACGTTTGTTATTGTCTTATTGATAATGGCCACTCTAATAGGTATGAGGTAGTACCTCACTGTAGTTTTGATTTGTAATTTTTTTATCTGATAACTTCAACAGGTTATTTTCCTTCTTGAATGTAAACATTAATTTCTATTGGGACGTATGTTCCACTATTAATCCCTTCTTGCTTTTGTTCATTTTCCATACTTTATCACCAGGACTTTGAAAAATGGTGGCTATACCTCCACACCAAGTTTCACTTGTTTTACCATGAGAATTGCCAAAGTCAAGCTTAAAATCCTATAAATGAAAAAACATTTGATAAGTATCTGAATTTCTTTCCTACATTTGGGGAATTCCCTACTTCATGCATCTGGAGGGTATAACCACAGGAGCTGGTTTTCCAGCTTTGCTTGCAGTCAGGGCATGGGCACGTGGCCAAGACTTAGCCAACAACACCGTCTGGGGTTTTGAATTCTGCCCAAAGACAGCAGAAGCTCCACCCTGGTGGTGGCAGCCACATCGGGGTTTGGGGAACTGCAGGGGTGTAGTGACAGTGGCAGGCAGGGCCCAGAGCAAGCGGTGCTGTTAGGTCAGCTTTGTGGTCCTAACTTCCTGGTCATTCTATAAGCTCTCCAACAGCCTTTCAACACATCTGCTTATCTCAGCCACTTTCTGTTGCTGCAACTAAGAACGCTGTGGGTGGGCCACGCAGCGGAATGCAAACCCAGGGGTTTCCGAGATGGATCTGCTGGGTTCAGCAGGGTCCTGGCAAACTCTCCTCCTCCTGCCCCCAGGTCCTCGCAGCCTGAGTTCACCATGCAGACGCCTGCACGCCCCACCGTGTCTGCAGCAGGGTTATGAACGGCAAGCACAGCACAGTGCCACCACCTCACCTCAGGAGTTAGAGGAAAGACGGGAAGTGTGGGCCCTAGTATCTCAGTAATATTTTTTTGACACCAAAAGAAATACCTAACTGCCCTGGCTGGTTTGGCTCAGTGGATAGAGCGTCAGCCTGCGGACTGAAGGGTCCCAGGTTCGATTCCAGCCAAGGGCACATGCCTAAGTTGCGGGCTTTACCCCCAGTGGGGGATGTGCAGGGGGCAGCCAATCAATGATTCTCTCTCATCATTGATGTTTCTATCTCTCTTTCCCTCTCCCTTCCTCTCTGAAATCAATAAAGATATATTTTTTTTAAAAAAAAAGAAATACCTAACTACTGTAAGTAGTTACATCCAAATAATAAGTACATATGTCCTAACAACTTATTAGCTATTTGAAAAAATAATACACAAAACTAAAGAATGTTTTCTTTATTTCATTGCTCAGTAACTACAATGATTTATTAACGGGATGTTGGGCATTGCTTAATTTCTCAAACCTTGGAATCAAATTGGACACTACTGCCTGCATTCCCTGTTTGACATTGAAAGGAATGTGGCGTGATCTAATGTCGAAACTGACCTACTTCAAGCTCGTAGCTCACGTGTCTAACATGTCAAGTATCACTGAGATTCCCCCAAAAGTTTAAATAGCCCATGGGTGCCTGTGAGTTTGTTGCCCAAGGGTGCCTTAACTCACAATCTGGGAACCACAAAAAAAAGGCAATGGAATCAGTGAAACATTCTGAGCAGGCAATCATCATGATGAATGTTTTAGAAAACTGAATCTGGCATTGGTGTTAAAGATGGATGGCCGCGTTAAAATACAATAAACAAATGGAGG